GCCTTGTTGTTGCCTCTTGTTTGTATGTGGGTGCTGAATAAAATTGTATTGTCTCAACCTCATTTTAGCAAAATACGTATAAAAGTAATATATGTATGCATTAACTTCGTAAATTTTTACTAACAATTTGAAATTATGGCCACACAATTATTATAAGGTTTTAGGATTTTTTTTTCTAAAACAAGCATAATCTGAGACAATTAAATAATTGTGTGATTGACTTATTGAAAAAACCATGTTATTAAAACTTTTGTAATCCTTTTTAGGGACTTGGTTCTTCTGTTAAAATTGTCAAAATTTCTAAATGAATTTTAAGAGCGTCCGTCTACATCGGGGGTCTATCAGAAAAGGCTAACTTTTATGTTAGGCCACGGACACAGTTAGGCGTAGCTTTAAGCTTTACAGTATGATGAAATGAAATATGAACACAATGTAAAATAATCCAGCTGTCTATGCTTTAATTATTTTTCCGTCATACTGCAGCAAAAACAGCCGTTTTAAATGCATGGGTTGCGGGTCTAAAGTAACATTTTTACTCTCTAAAATCGTTTTTAGCCCGTAGGGTGTAAAAAATCAGCTGTTGTCAACTTACAGTAGGTAGTTGTAATTTTCGACTGTAAAAAATTGCATGTATCAAAAGTAGGTATCGATTGTTTAATTGATTGTATATTATTGTTCTTTTAGTATGTGTACACTAACACAATCGTAATAGACAAAACGGTTGAATCGCCTACCGAACAGCTGCTTGTTTCCATTAGAAAATCAAATAAACGGTACAGCAATCTGACACATACTTTATCCCATTAGCCTGTCAACAACCTTTATCATGGGTAAGCGATGAGAGTAACTAATCAATTATGATATTTAATAGGTAAAATCTCAAAAGTTTCATTGGCTTTTGAACCGTAATTTTTACAGGAATGGGGGGTTGCACTATTTTGTTCAGAATTTAAAGGGCTAAAACATACTAATTTTTTTATCAAAATCGTTTGGGACATAAAAAAAATCCGATCTTTCCTTGAGCTGGGGTCGTAAAAAGTCACTTTATGCCCTAGTGATGAAATATTACTATTATTGATATTGAATGATGGGGCAGACAAATGGTCCCAGGCACGTCATTAGGAAAAATGTAGGTATTTTTCTTAAATTACAATTCTAAGCCGCACATTAAAAAGCTTAAAAAATTTCGTTAGGCCTTTACAACTAATTTTTGAGTAACTTACAACGAGAGAATCTTTGATAATTACCCGATTTTGCAAGCCTTGCAGATTACAACATGAGATTCGTATGGTGTATGCCAGATCTTCGGTATTGGAACATTTTAAAATTAAGTTTGACCTGTTTAACCGTTGGCTCCAATAGTCAATGGTTTTACCAAAAGTTTTAAGTTTTTTTCTGACGTAAAAGATTTTTAAATTTAGATTTTTAAAATGCAAACTGTACCAACTGTGATCATCTTTCACCAATATCATCAGACATCAGTCAAGCATGAGGCTGACAAACAGGCGTTTTTGAGTACCGAATTTAGAGTTTAGAGCTACTTGAAGACGTGATGATGAATAAAACGCCTTCCTAACTAAGCCCGCATGGCCCAGGTCGCGAACAACTGATAAGCTAGATAACGCTAACTCTCAACTAGCTACTTGACAATAAAAACACCCTTGTTATCTAGCACACTTAGGGGCAATAAGAATATCTCACTACGTAATTAACAATTGACCCTAATCGGGACGGACAATTGAATATTTTTTATGTTTTTGTTGTTTGTGAAGTTTATTGTGACCGATGTACGAGTATGTTCTAAGCTTTAATTGTATTATTAATAATCAATAGTAACGCGCAAAGTTTCACAATGTTTCGGTATTCGACACCTGATTTGTATTGAAAAGGAAAGGACCCTAGAATACAACCAACTTAAATACACAGTCGTTTTAGGTTTCGTTATGTTATTCCATTAAAGTTGTAAATCAAGAAAATATCCAACAACATTGATCCAAGAACATTGGTCTCAAAGGCTTGGTTTAACTTAAATAGTTGACATGCAATTTGTACAGTGCTGTGAAATTCATTCGGTGTTGCAAGATTAATAAGCAAATAATTTTGAAAACTAATTACATAAAACCTATGGTTGTGTTCATGTATAACTTGTGAATGTCCTGAGCATGCGCACCTCACTAAATCTACCTAATAGAAAAAGAGGGCGTATTTTGCAAATGTTTAATTTTTTTTTAACCGTTATGCAATCAGTAAATATTTTTACTAAATGTATATCAGTTTTAAAGCAAATAATATTTTATCTGACAAATAATCTACTTACTAAAACTAAATACTAGTAAACATAAATTTCTTGAATGAGTCAGACTAACGTCAGAGTCATGAAGCAGGTGGTTTTATAGCTGTCGAATTTCGTGAGGAAAAATAAGTTTATCGGTGTGCAAATACGTCTTTGACTAGCAATAAAACTTAATCGATATCACGCTTCAAATGTATTACCTGTCCGCCAATGGCTATCGATATACAGTACTCTCGCGCAAATTCAATTTAGAATTTGATGTATCGGTATGTGAAAAGTTAGAAGTCGATTTCTTTAGGAGCAGTTGTTCTTTTAGATACCATTTTAGAAATGTGTATACATCGGACTTAACGGTCTCATTGATTTAGATGCTGATTCAAAATTTAGTATAGTCTACATTCAGGTCTTTGGTCATATTTTACACTCCCGAATCACATCTCCCACGGTAATAGGTGTTTTTAAGTGTTGAAAATGTGCAGGTAGTGTCTAAGTATTGACGACACATCTACCTAGATTAGGAAGAGTTTTAGGAAAGCAAAGAGGATGTTACAGTAATATTTCATGTTCACCGTAAAAATTACCTAGCATCGGACCGGGCGATTTATTTACTTCTCAACGCAATTAATTTTTCTTTTTTTTTATTCGGGTAAAAGAATACATCTTTTACAGCTCTTCTACATTTCTTTTCCAAAAACGCCATTTGTGTATCATCAAGGTGGTGAACGAAACATTTATCCGGATGTAAAATGATTCATCACATTACTCAACTACATTTATTTTAGAGTAAGTGCAAGTTAGACTAAATATAGGCGTAACATGGGGTGTGCCCAGTCGAAGGACATTATGAGTCATCTGTTCGTAGATATGACGATAACATCGAATCTCTGCACGCTCGATTTCTCCTTTCTTGGATTTTATCAGCAGGAAATGCGTGATCGCACTTCCATTTTCATGAACAGGGAAAATACAATCTCCAGTACACCAGCGTGTGTTGATTCTTGGGAAGTTTATATAGGGAACCTTTTATGTTTTAAATACTTGTGACAATACTAGACCCAGAACTAGAAACGTGAGATTTTAAGGGGTATTGAAATAATTTGAGAGTTTATTAAATCAAGAATTAATTAATGAAATAGTAACCATCCACACAAATTTTAACAGGTCTTCGGTCTTCAACAAAAATATACCATACAATGTATGGTTAATCCTAAATTTACATTGCATCTATTGTGTTTCATACTTTTATCCTTGAGATACATATGGAGTTTCTTTGTGAGTTTTATCTTGTTTGGAGAACAATGCTCAGAATTATCTCAAGGAATAAATATTTTATCCTTCTCAGATTGCACTTAAGTCTAAGTCAAGTGTGTAAATCCCTTCTTGGCCTACATACACGAAAACACTCGACAAGGATTTGCACATTTGACGGATTGCAATACTTGTTTGGATTAATATGTGTTCCATGAGAAAGGTAACGGTTAATAGATTAAAAAGCTGAGTCAAGTGAAACCAAATTTGTTGGAGGCTATCAATCAAGTCGTTGACGTGATTTAGAGGGCAATCAAAGTGGAAACATTTTAAAAATTTTCCGTACTAGTTTAACAGTTGTTTTGATTTACAGTGTTCTCTCTTTTGACAATAACTACCATCAACGCATTTGATAATGAATTTCAAATAATACAGAAAACTTATTTTGAAACACTGTAGGATAAGTGATGGGCAATAATAATTGGTGTTTTCAATACTTTGAAATTTGTTGCGAAAGTGCATTTTTTAAGAAGTGTTAAGCTTTTACTGTGGTTTCAGCACTCAGAATGCTTTGCCTATTTGCAAAATGTTCACAATAACAGCCGACATTTGCATTGAAATTTACTTGATTTTAAAGATCCATGTAAATAACTCAATATGAGGATAATAATACAAACCAAAACATCCATATTTGAAATTTCAAAATGGGTTGTAATTTATGTGTACATAGTTAGTAATTTGTTTATACCGTGTCTATAAAATGCGATAGTAATTGAGTATATTAAAAAGTTAGTATGTTAAACAACAAAAGTTTACAAATTTGTATTACAATTATGCATTTAAATATATACAAAATACGTCTCTAATGATTGTATGTCTTAGAAAAAGCAAAATTAAATATTCTGACATAGTCTTAAGAAATGTCACTGATTTTACCTGAGTACGTGCGTAAGTTATTAAAATAAATGCAAATATTGTCGGTTTGTTTCGCTTGAAAGTGACTCGAATGCTAACGATTTCTTCGTGTAATCAGTTCTGTATTGTTAACATTCGCAGAAGGATCAAACTCTCTTACTTCAGAATAGGCTCGTTAGTGAGGTACTAGAATTATTGCAAACTCAGTCGAAACATTGGTTTACTGTGACTTAATTCTGTATCTTTAAGTCAATCTTTAATATTTGTTATACTTATGCAATTTGACGTGAAATTGTAAAGGTAATTTATGAGTATAACTATAAACATAAACATACGATTTTACACCTGCGTTAATGCCAAAACAAAATAAACAGCATCATACGCAGGTTAACAAGTTCACGAGGTGGCTTATCAGTCATTGTCATTAACTGATAAGCTAATCAACACTGATAAGCGACTTATCAGTTGACATTGAGTCAGAAAGCTATGTCAGTGGAGATGGGTTATAAAGTGGTGTCAATTCTGCCGTGCAGGCCAGGTAATTGTGGCGGTTAGGTTAGGTTAGGTCGGTGCATAGGGATATACAGTACTGAGATCTTACCTGATCAAGAGGGGCTCACTCGTTGTTTTGTGTTTGAATATAGTTTTAAATTTCAGTAGGGTAAGTTTTATACAATGCAGATGTTTTCATAACTTGTATTCGAGTTTCTCTTTGATCGGAGGTTGAAGTCTATACAGTTAAGTTAGGATATACCATTGGTTAATCAAGTTACTGGATTTTACCAAACCATTTCTTATATATTTTTTTTGTAATTATACTATGTGTTATTTGTCCAAACGCATTATTTTTTTAAATTTATTTTGTAGCTACAGTATAAAATGTATCCGATTGCGTTGAGATATAAACGGTTTATTCAACTATTCAATATGAAACCTCAACAAATCTCGCTTCATAGCTTTGTCTCAATTTTATTTTGGACAATATTTTAAAACAGATCAAGATATTCAACACAGTTAAAAGTAATAATTAAACTACATAGATTTATTTACAAACAAATCTCACACAATTTTTCTATAAAACCAAACATTGATTTTAAATTATAGACTTTATTTCACTATACAGTACTATTGGGTTTCTCCAATCTATTGTGTAGATTATTTCAAACCTCAAAGATCTCAAGGTATTTTTATCTAAATTTTTAAACCAATCTTTTTTAAACTAAAACTAAGTTTAAAATTTGACCGATTTCTGACTATTCTAGGACGTTTCGCCTGATTAACCCCTTACATCCGCGTGGTTTTATATAATAATTACACCACGTTTGACCTTGAAGGAAACGCCAATAATGAGAATTTCCTAGACCGGTTGACCAGATGATTTCGTCACAATCAGTCGAAGGTAATCAGTTGTTAGTAAATCAGTTGTGGCTCAGTTGTTCGGCGTCGGTGGCCCAATAGATATCGTATCGTCCTCAGTCTATTGTCTTTGTAATCTGCTTAAGTGGGTTAATTATATATCATGTGTAGGCGTCCAACCATAAATATACAGGTAAACTTCTAGGAGATCGCGTTAACATTTCATTGTTGGTTTTAAACATAGCTTATTTAACTCTGAATAAATATAAGGGGTGGATTTTGTATATGGGTAATGCATAGTACAATTTGAGAACAATCCGTTGTATTTTACTTGAAATATTTGGAAAATTTGTTATCTTTATTCTCTGTAAGGCATTTGACCAGTTTGAAACACTTAAGTAATTGTTAAAGATGTAGTTTTTTAGATTTAAATATCACCATTTTTGTAAATCGTGTTTATACCACTCATTTTGGTTTATCTTTGGAATTTTTGCGAATCAAACTAATTTTCACTTACAATTGCGTTGTTTTAAAAGTAAAGCTATGTTTTTAATTAATTGACACTAAGGTCTTAGGATGTTTCTTAGATTTCTATTCGTGTATGTCAGTTAGTTAAAAATGTTGGAACCCATGTGTGGAGAATTTTAATTTAAAATTGTAATGGATTATTTCGGGTAGATAGTTTTAGATCGTTCCAATGAGTAATATTGTAGTCAAAAATGTTGAATGGAAAAAATTAATTTGGCCATTTTGTGGTGTTGATGTTCAAAGTAGTGTGTCTGTTATTGTAGCATTCCTTTTTATTTTTATTTTATACGATTACGAGAAACGACAATCCTAAATAGTTGCAGACCTGCGTTAAAGTTCATGTATTGACATAATAAGAGAGGTATTGTGAATTAATTTATAAATCCATTGCTGAGTAAAATAGTAAAAAAAAAAAACTGAAATTAGAAAATGTGTTGGTCTATTTGAGACCGAAATTATTATACTTTTATTATTAACATTTTTCAATAAAATCCCATTTCGTTGACAAGTGACACCAAAGTGATTTAAGGTTAGGTCTATCTGTGCATACATTACTGATAGTTGGCGACCGCGCCACCAGGTGACATATATATAGTTCCTCTGTTCGCCCAGAGGTAGCACTGGTGTCGTTGGTGCCGCTCTCGCTCTACTATGGTGTCGGTGATGGTGTCCTATGGTGTCGCGGTATTTCTATTGGTGATCTACGAAGTGTCAGCGCTCACCCTTCTTCCCAAGAGTTTAAGGAGTCTTCCCCCCACTTGTGAAAGGTTTGTAGCGGTCGGCAGATTTTTTTTTTCAGTTTTGGTATATTTTTGTGGTGGAAACGCTTGGGAAATTTGTGCCTGGTTGGGTTTTCTTATTTAAATGATTTTGTTATCACGTAGTGTTGTTATTTGAAGATTGTTTTACTCCTGCAATTAAATATATGTATATATAAATTTAAAAAGCGAATACATTTTTCAGAGTGCGCATTTTTTATCTCTTCTGGGTTTTTTTAGCAAATTATTTGTATGGAACTGCAGTTAACATGATGATATCATCGAGTTTACAGATATGTTCTAACTTTTTGGATTATTGTAAGCGAAAGATATTGTGCCATCGTGTGGGTACTGTATGCACTTTAGACTTAGAATGGTGGAGGAATATTAATCAGTGTTTTTATCACAGTACATATTTCCTAGCAGATGTGCTTTGAGCTTTTTAGGGAGGATCTCGTTACTAAAAAATGTACATTACTTGATAGAGTTTAATCAACTTTTGGCACATTTAATTGAATGTTTATTCAGGGGGAATAAAATTATGTTCTAGATGTATTTCTGGCCCAATCATTAAGACGTCATACTTTTTGCCTACACTTTGTACGTAGAATGCATAATTTTAGGAGATTACCCTAATATTTTGGTACAGCTATGACTGTTATAGTGTGTGTGAGTCACCGAGAGACGATAAAATATTTTTTTATGATTTTTCCGCATATAGGCATATATATACATTTTATGTATAACAATTTAGGATTGTAATAATTCCATACTTAGTATTTGACAATAGAGACTAAAACGAACCCTATAGTTTTTTTTATAAACATCTATATTATTAAATGAATTTGTTGGATTTTTTTATTCGGCAAATCGACCTTAAATATTGATTTTCGTAGGCATATTGGGTATCAATTTAAAGCTCTTATCCTCTAGCTAGATGTGCCTTTTGAGGGTTTGGTTGATATCCCGTGAAAGCCCTTCGTCTAAAGGCTCTTAAAATTTCATAGTTTGTGCTGAATCCTGTTGTCAATCATCTGAACTTTTCAAAGTTACATTTGTTTACATAAAAACATATGGCCATGATACAATTTAGTTTACACCCATACGAAAATTGGGTAATCGTTACATTTGGTAATGTTTTAATGAATTCAAGTAAAATATTGTAATGTTATTTAAACAAAATGTAAAGAAGAAAATGTAGGTTTTGTGTGTTGATAGGACTTTGTGTTTTCAAATAAGTTCGTTTCACTTTTTTATGCACGAGTTTGTATTGGAAACACTAATTACAAAGTTATGTTCAGGGTTTGCTTGGCAAATTACAAGTCATTGATAAGTTATTGATTATCACGTAAAAAATAGATAACTTTCAACTGATCTCAGATCAATAGAAAATTGTAAGTTAATTAAAATATATCACGGATTTTGAAATCACGAAGTGACGCTGGCTGCTAGTTCTAATTATTTGAAACATATAATGTTTTAAAAAAGTTATATCACAGTAGCTATACAATAATTATGTATATTGTATCGTATACTCTACTACACGATTACGCAAAAATTAGTATACAGGATTGCACCAATCAATTGATTAAAATATAAATCATACGATTTGACAATAATGAAATCATTCTTTATATGCAACTAACTAAAACAGCTAGCATTCACAAATGAAATAAAATATTGTTATTTACTGTTGAAAAAATGTATTGAAATTATTTGTATTTAAATTACATTAAACAATACATTCAAACAGCTTTTCAACACATTTTAATTACGATTTTTACTTTACGATCACTATTATATCTACACATTTTCACACGTCGATGCACAGTGTTTTATGTTATTGCTAAACACGTGAAATGTGAAAATGAATATTCATATATGTTTATTGGGAAACGTGAGATATTCCCAATTTCAGCCCAATCCGACCAGTAGTTAATGTGTGATTGAGCCTCAAACAAACACATTGATATCCAGCCTTATAAAATTAATATGATTAGTATGATAAGGTAGTATGATTAACTCCGTCGTCTGCTCCAAAGGGCTCCAAGACAGCTAAAACATCGCTTTGGATGCGAGTAGGTTTAAACGTGTTGAGTAAATCTTATGAGCACATTGAAATTATAAATAGATATGGCAAGATTATGAAATAGTTTTATTGGACGATTAAATGAAATCCGTATCCTAATTGTTATACTCGTTAAAGCCATTGTTTTCATTGTAGTCTAAGTCAAGGGCAAGCTAAATTATACCAGGCAAATTATTGTATGGACGTTTTGTCATTGCAGCACGTTTTTATCTGAAATTTAAAATACCCTCAATTGACTTCCATAATGAAATTCCACACATTTGCATATTGAAATTTACCTGTTTAAAAGATTCAGCCGTTTTGAGTCAAGTCAAATCAAAACCCTTTATTGCATAAAATATGGAAATACGTGCAGTGCAATGGTCAAAATAAAATATGTCATACAAAGCAAACCATGCAAAAATACAAAGTACAAAACCATGCTTTCTACTCTTACTCTCTTTGACTCTCTTTGATTCTGTCTCTTCAACGTTAGATCACACTCACAAAATTATAATAAACAGCTCTGTTTTAGAGCAAGGTATTCTAGGTTTGATTAACAAACTGACATGTGTCATGACTGCTCCTTAGATCAATTTCGACATAAATTATGCAATTTAATGGGTATATAGATGAATATCACCTGACAAGCTACAAACAAGACTTTTCGCTCTACTCTAATGCCCTGAACCAGTTGGCCATTTTCAACGTTTAATTTTAGACATAATATACGTATCTTGCACGTTTAATTTATTTTCTCCACGTGTTATGACTTATGTAATTAAACTCTTAACTGATTGATTTATCGTTGCATCTCACATCTCGCGAGATATCCTATATGCAGGTGTGCTGCGCTCAGTTGGGGAAGGCTGTGTGTTGGAACCACATTGACACTTTGTTGTGCAGGCCTCTACACGTTATTCAGTGCAATCGAGCATGGCTTTTGCCAAGACTTCGAAAATGTCTCCAACCAAGAATTTGTCTTCTTCAAGAAAGTTCTACCACTGGCCCCCAGTGATCGGGATTAGAGAAAGTTCATCAAGGGAAGACCTGAGTTCTCAGATCCTCACTTCAGTAGGAAGCATTTTGGACGAGCATTCACATGTGGTCCGAGACGAGCTGTTCAAATTGAAAGAAGTGACGAGGGAGTTGAAGAATTCAGTACATTTTCTACGAGAAGAGAACATGGAATTGAGAAAGCAATGCAAATTTCTTCTTGACGAATTAGTGCATCTGAGTAAAGACGTTTTGATGTTGAAAACATCAGGTAAATTTGAACCTGGATTCAAAGACGATTTGAGAATACTTGAAACTTCTTGTGACGCCAAGAAAAGTTTAGAAACAGATTTTGAAAACGCGAAAACCCGACCCAAGTCCAAGTTCACAACTCGATCTGCCAAGACAGACTGGTTCTGGACAGCTACGAAAGAAAAGATAACCTCAGCTGTTTCTCCCTCTTTGGTGGATCCAGGAAAGTTTGTTTCGAAGCATAGAAAAATCAAGATGCAAAGAAAAATCAAGGAGAAGATGGTACCTTTTGGTTGGACAAACAAATGTAGAACTTACTGTGATAATAGTGCGGAAGCGGAAGAAGTCAGCTTTAGCACCTGGGAAGACTTGGCTAGTGTAGTAGAAGACAAAGAAGAAAATCTCAAATAGTTGTTTTAAGGACTGAAAAGTGTTAGGTTTGATCAATTTTTGAACGTTTGAAGCGCTTAGTTATTTTTTTTTGTTTTTTTTCTATGGGTTTGTTGACGATATACATTATTTCTAAAATACAGGATAGCGTATCTGATCACCTTAATAACGTCTTAGCTACAAACCCAACGGATTTAAAACATTATTAAATGTTTTTTTTTTTTTTAATTATACCAATTAAATAAGTGCGCTAATCATTTTAATTTTTGCTGAGCATTTGGAACAGGAGATAACAAGGATTTATAATTTAAAATTATTATTAGCGTCTTTGAGTCTAACAAACATAACATAACAACAATTTAGTACCTACGACATTAAAAATTCACGTGTACGAGGAACGCTAAAGGATTAATTAGGAAAGATTTTATGCTTAAAATGTAACTCATACTCATATTTTATGTTTACGTATTTTTAAGCGATAGTTTGTACTGTATTGTTTTCGCTGGGGATAATCGACTGTAGTAGTTTTTTTAGCAATATTTAGTGTGGTTTTAATTAAAATACCAAAAGGTTTATGCTTACCGAAAAACTGAATAAACTTATTTATTAATACCCAGGTTACTCTTAAAAAGCAGATTAATTAGTGTAGAGTTGTTGTTACCAACTTAACGATGCATTTTGTTGTGCATACACGGTTAGTTTTGAACAATCTGTTTGAAAGATAATATTCATTTGTTAAATAATCAAAGAAACGTCATGTTTTCCTTGTTGGTAACTTGCTTGCCATCGCGGTAGTTCTAGTTCATTGCTAGAAATCATTTAAGATTTTCAGTCTCCCATTCGAACATTATTACAACCTCTTCTCTTGTATTAAATAAATAAAGTGAAAAATGTTTATACGTCATTGGCCCTTCTTCATCCTTGAATTCCTTGGGTTCTTTTCTTGGCCCTTTGACGTGCATTTTTAAACACGTAATAGCTTATCGATTTACTACGTTCTTAGGCCTTTAGTTTTCTTTGGTAAGCATTTTTCATCCGAACATAGTCATTTCAGCACCATCATTCATAGGAATTTTAGATTAATAGAACACTTTATTACTGCAAGGAGTATTTTAGCCGTGCGGTTTATATATATGCCACAATTATCACTACCTCGTTGATGGTTATGTTTCAGATAAAAGAAAGAAACTAACGTTCTTTCAAACGCGCAAAGTTATAATTAATCTATGGAAAGAGCGTAAATATTACGATTTGGTAACGGTCTTTACAAAATCGTTTATCAATTATCATTAACTTCATAACAATAAATTGTACAAGTTTACATAGAGAATGTATTGGCCAGTGCTAGTGCTCAAGAGAAAGTACGACAGTTCAACAATTAACGAAAATGTTTCCGGTAATGTGGAAGTGCGTAACGCAAACTGGTTGTTACTTAGTAAAAACTTCTGTAGCAGCTTTCTTTGTTATAACAGGTTCGCTCTACTAACTTGTACCTTTGACTATGCTTGTACTTACGTTCATCTGAACTTCAATCAACGACTTGGTGTTATATGCACTCTTTTGCAGCTCATTTGTATATAATCTGTATTTAACTGACCATCATTATCGTTATTTTATAAACCTCTATTTCAAGAATGTATTTAGGGTACCTACTATTTATATATGTTTATTTATATATGTATGTTTATTAAGAAATCTTTATGAATGCAGACCACTAGTTGTTTCTTTAGTAAATGAACAACCTGTAATGTACACGTTCCTTTATATTTCAGCGTGTAGCGTTTGAAAACCCATGGCAACTATACCTGCTGTGCAAATATAACTGTACTATTTATTCTATTTAAATACGAAGAATAAAATGTGTGAGGGTTACATTTAACCTACCTGTCAAGTAAAAACTATCATATTCAAATGGCCGTGTTTACTTAGATAATAGTTCTCATAACAATGGTTCTAAATTCACTTTCTAACCTCACATATTTTTTGTAATAACGTGAAAATGTTTACCAGAAAACCGTTAAAAAAATAAATAACCCAGTCACATAACTTTAATTCTCTTCTTTTTGACTTGGGTACGTTTAACCAAAAGTCAACAATGTGTTGTTTTCAAAAATGTATTTCCAAAGCAGACAGCCAAAATGTTTGATTGCAACACATAACATAGGAAACAAGCTTTACTGGTATGGACTAATGAGAAATATATTGGTAAAGTAATTTTAAATAAGGTGTCAATATAAAGTTTTCAAGATATATTAGGCCTTAAAAGTCAATTTTTCTTGTTCAGAGTAGAATGAAAATTTTACAGGTTAAACGTGGTTTGACATACATTTGCGATGAAGGAGATAAAACTTGTTAATATAATAACGGATATGTTACAAAAAAGAAAAATATTTTCCAACATGCTGCTGCTGTGTTTTTATAGAGACATTGGCCTTTACAGCGCGAGTACGACCTTTACTCTGGTTATCTTGGAAAATAAAAGTTGTAGATATGGAAACTTACTTCACTCTGTAATTTGGTGTCTCTTTGTAATATTTGGAGTCATTTTACGATCAATTCACCAGTCGCAGAATCTTGCTATTTTGGATCTGCACAGTTAAAAATTGAGCAAAATACGGGATCTTTGCCACATGCACCAATAGCAAACAGTCTGTACTGATGTAATTAACTTTCGCCTCTAAAGGGTCAAGCAGAAATATATCTACATTTTAACAGTAGTAAATGTTATATTTTTTTACTGTAACAGGTACAAATCAATTAAACCTTTGGTCTAACCCTGTGTTGTATTACTAATACTTTCCTATACTTCATACTTCATTTAATAGGGATTAAATGAAGTTATATAGTCATTAAATAACTCAATGACATTAATTGTATTTTCTAGTCGCCCAAACCACTGTAATTTACCAATAGTACTAAACATTAAGCAGATACAACAAAACATATGCTACGTAGATTCTAGAATACATCTTCCATTCATCAGCCACACACACATTTCTCAAAGTGTTTTTTTAATCAAACTTGGCTTATACAGGTGTTTAATAACGCACAACCCAAATTGAAAGTACTGTGAGACACATTTTAATGACAAAACTATGTTATATTTTGGTATTCCTGTATTCTTAACTTCATTGCCCATCAGTATATATGTGTTGTTACATAGTTCTCTATGAGGATTAGTGTTATTGGGGATTTATTATAAATTAGATACAACATGGTCACACAGTCATTAAAATGTGTCTTTTTCCTGCAAATGTGAATCTAATAGGTTTCTTGAGTTTAACAAAATATTAAATAACATATTAGCGGTCAACTTGTTGAATTTTTATTTGATGTTGTATTTTATTACTTTTAAACTTCAATGCTAATTTGGAAATAATTTATGTAATGTTGTGAATAGTTGGTAATATTTGATCATAAAAGATTTAATAGCTGTTTGAGGGCTGGAAAATGTGCCCAACTAATTGTCCTTTTTCATTTGGCTTTCAATAAAGGGTCCTGGGTTTTCTAGCTAAAGAAACCGATCATGTTAAGGATTATGTAGAGTAAATTATGATATGATAATGTTTTTATCTTATCACAATGTAGCCAAACAAAATTATTTGTGTTTCTCAGTGTACAACATTTTGGAAAAACCTTTTTTAACAAATATTTTACCTATAACTTATCAAACTTACAAAACATATTAAAATTTTTCAGATGCTACCTGATTATGGTTCTAAGATAATTTCCTGGTGTTTAAATTTGTTTTTAATTATTTGTATTTGTTCTGTTTTCAGCAATATCTACTGCCAGGGTGTGCTGCTTCACGATGTTCAGATGGCTAGGCTATACACAGACTCCAAAACTTTTGTTGACATGAAGTTAAAGTACTCAGAAGACGAAGTTGTATCTAAGTAAGTTGTTACTGTTTTGCCAATTGTTTTGTACTTATTTTGTTATTACATTCATTTAATTTTATGTTCTTTTAGAACTTATAGTTGCTTACATATCTCTGATAGCCTATATATTTATTGTTAAGGTAAACATTAGTTAGACAAAGTTGTAACCAACAGACGAGACAAATCCAACCAAAGAATTGATGAAACACACAAATCCTTTTTTTGTCTTCAGTATCCTTTCATATTACCACGGGGAGAAGGTTATGATTTCAAACTTTTTCTAATCCCAATACAACTCCAACAATAGTATGCCGATCAAGAATCTGTAGAGAGATTTTTATGTATTTCCCAATAGGTAGAAAAAGAAAACTATCGATTCTCTGAAGTGTTGTCAGATTATTCAGAAGTTTTATTGATGAATACGCTGAATTTAAAATCTTACTGCTGAACTATTTATTTCAACCAATTAATGCTCAAGTTTAAAGTGTATTCATTTGCGAGGTGATGTTGTTTAGCTATTTAGATGAAGGTACTATACTTGTTTCTTGCCACTTACTTAAAATTTTTTTTTATTGGCAAGTTTACTGATGTTTCTGATTTTAACTAATTTTTTGTCTACTGTGATATGGTAAACAGATACAGATTGCTGACGAGCTGTTGTTGTAGGTATGAAGCCCTCAGAAGGCAGTATGGAGGTACGCCACCGACAGACAAATTACAAGAGTTTGTTGATAGTAATTTTGAACAAGGAGACGAGTTAGAAGTGAGTTGAAAACTTTATCTACAAGCAGTGTGATTGCTTAGATATAATTTTTAAACTTAGTATACAGTAACATGTATCATTAGCTTGCCCCGGTTGCCCCCGCCCCTTCGGACGGCCCTGGTTCCGGGTTCAAATCCCGCCAAATCACCAATGGATTTTATCTAAGTGATAATGGCCCAACCCCTAGGTCTAGCCTGAAGTAATGTGAAAATCAAAACAATCCCAGGCTCGGCCAGTTTGGTTTGTGTGTGAAAACCAACAAGATTTTTTTTATGAAATGAGAGGCAATGATTGGTTTTATATTTTCACTAACTGAAGCAATGATTGGTTTTATATTTTCACTAACTGAAGCAATGATTGATTTTATATTTTTACTAACTGTTCTATGCATCCTAGCAGGAAGTGAATCATTCTAAAGATATGACAATCTGCTGGAAACAAATATTGAAACATAGATCTTACTGTTGTCAGGGTCGCGGTTCGCATGATTCGCTCTATGAGCTTGAGAGATATTGTTTTCCCTGCAGGAGGATAAAAAAGTCTGAGGACGGTTAAATATTTTGAAAAATAACAAGGGTAGAGCAAAGTTAAACCATTAACATATTATTCAATGAAACTCTACCTCCTCAGGGGGTCGGCCCACTAGAAGTTAAAAAATACCTTTAATGAAAGCATAGGTTGACATGTTCATAAAATAAAAGGTCTTTATTAGTAGAATACAATACAGTTAGAAATCCGAACTCAAACGGACAACCAATCCAAAAATGGCAGTGGGCTGACATTTTTTTTGAATTTTGTGTTGGGAACAGCCTGCTAGAAGCCAGAAGAAATTCTTTAAAGTAAGTATAGGTTGATATGCTCATCAAACTAAAGGTCTTTATGAGAAGAATACAATACCGCAAACTCAAAAGGAGAACTGGGACGAAAATGGCAACCATTCAAGGATATCTTGAATTTTAAAATTTTGCTAATAACAATAATGTGGTAGTACCTATGCTTAAATTTAATTTTTTCTTCTGTCTCCTAGCTGGTCATTCCCCTGAGGAATTGTATAACACTGAATGATGTCTAAATTATTTTTATATTCCTACCTTGCTGCAAATTCTGTTGCTCTATTATTATTTTTCAAAATATTTAACTGTCTGATACTATTTTGCCACCCAGTAAAACCTGAGATATTTGTTGTCTCCTGCATTCTCTGAACAATTATAACTGGGCAATTGTATGCAAATGTGTTAATTGATTTGGGCAGCACACTTTTTTAAGTTTATTTTTAGTGATAGTGAACATGCATGCTTTGATTTAGTTTTCAAGTAGAAGGGTTCTAGTTTCTATTACTACAAGTCCAGTCTGTCTTATGAGTAACCAATGTACTCAAGTATCCAAGTTTGTTCATAAGTCAAACATTTCATTGTTATGTTACAGGAGTGGAAACCAACTGACTACACAACCAAGCCGTCGCTGGTCGACCGCGTGGACGATCCTCTGTTCAAACAGTGGGTTGAAGATCTCAACAATGTCTTCTTCACTCTGAGTCGGAAAGTCAAACCCGACGTTAAGATTAATCAGGGTCTTTACTCTCTACTTTATGTTCCTAATGGGTGAGTTGTCACAGGTACAGCACATTTGATAAACGTACAAGTTTCACAGAACAGTGAATAATCAATTTGTTATGTGAAATTAGTGCATAGGTTAATCATTAAGTGCAAATTACATTATTTTATATATTAGATAATTGGAGATTAAAAACGTTAGCACTCTTGATGGCTTGGCACATTGATAAAATTATAGCTAAAAGAATAATATAACTCTGCATTTTCATACAATACATAGTAGGCTTCTTTTGTCAACTATTCGCCATCTCAGAGCTTAGTTATTATCTACATATCAGGAGAATCATGCAATTGTGGGCTTGTACATTATTATTTACCAGCCTTTCCTTGTGCTATCTCAAAATTGTTGTCCTGGCATTATTTACCACTGTTTTTTTCTCTAGATACACAAGATAGTTTTCCTGTTCGGAAACAAATAGTTAACTAGTTGTTAATAATGATGAATGGTGAGCAAAAATAGTTTTCCTTCATGCATTAAAGTCTGAAATACCAATACAATGATGACTTCATATATTATAATACTAAATAGCCAAATTAAAGGTATAAATTAGCTGCAAGTAAAAAGTATCTGTAAAATGTGTAAGTAACTTTATTGTAATCTGATGTCACTGTCTTTTCAACTAAACCAAAATAAATACAACATTTAAGTTAAGAAAAATTATGAAAGACTCTACCTGAAATTACTGTAGTAATGTATACCAATTTCTCACATAGAGTTTGTCACTCTGAACAAAAATGCACATTCATGTCATTGATATATTGCATGATCACTGCAATTCACTTTTTTTGACTCACTAAATCTAAGTTTCAGCTGCTCAGTCACACAACTAATCCAAGACCTGTCCCACTTTTAATTTCCACAAGTTATTGCTACGGTACCCACAATGAGGATACAAAAAGAGCCTCTCCTTAGTTTGGTATTACTCATTCCGCAGTGAAATATTAAGAATGATAGCAGGTGACTAATTATCAGCTAACTTCTCCATAAGGCTATGGTTACACAGACTACGGAATTTTTGGCGTGGGGTGCGAAATTACAACGACCCTGGTTCAATGGAGTTTCCTGGGTCCGGTTCCACTGACATACGTCTACGCGACCGGAATTTATGGTTCCGCACGGCAGACAAATCATACTGGTCTGAAAGCATTGGCAGTCCAGAATCCCCCAGAGGAAAGGAGTCATCAATTATTGTGACCGTGCAGTTAGTTGAACACGAATGAATTTCCATAACGTAATTTCCACAGCCTCAGGAAACCACCCCTACAGATTTTACGCACCGCACGCCAAAAATTCCCTAGTCTGTGGAACCATAGCTTAAGATATAGCTATTTTGTCACTCTGTTGACCTCCCAGCTTCATATCTAATTAACTATACAGCCCGTCTAAATACTATACAATCCGATGTGTAACTGACTGGGGATACAAATTCTAGACCACTTCTAGATGAGCTAGAGACTTGAAATTTTCGGTGGTTGTAGGTCTAGTGCCCAAACCACCCATAAAATTCCAAAAAGTCGCATTTTCAAATTTTAACCCCCCCGAAAATTCGAATTCCCCCCCCCATGTTATTCTTATGGGGAATAACATTAAAAATGGCCGACTTTCGTGTTCCCATCTGAACCACTTAGAAACGTGCTAGAGACTTCAAATTTGCGTAGTATTGTAGTGTGAGGTCTTACAATACCGGTGGAATTTGCAAAAGTCCCATTTTCAAATTTTAACCCCCCCAAAAATCCAAAATGGCGGACCTCTGAAAACGAAAAAACACTTTTTTTCGACCGGATGTAGCTCGAAAACGGTAAGAGATAGAAAAGATTTGAAAGTATATCCAGGAACAGGAATTAAATTTTATACAAAACCCTCTTAGGCGTTTTCCAAAAATCGGACTCCTTCAGCTTCAAAAACCGCCCTACTTTCAAAATTTGGTAAATTTTTATTGAATTTTTACCGGTTTTCGTCATTTTTTCATACCTAAATAATTGTTTTCCGCAAATATTATTATTGCTTTGTATTGTCCTTACTTTACTTTAAATTTCACTTGGTAATTGTTTTTTCGTAACTTCACTGCTTGACCCCCAAAATTAATTTTAATCTCAAAATTTGAAGGTTTTTTGCTACTTTTACGAGCCCTATGTTATTCTTATGGAGAATAAGATTGAAATTTAATGACTTTGGTATGGTCAGCTGAATCGTTTGGAAACGTGCTAGAGACTTGTAATTTGGTAGTATTGTAGTAAGGGATCATAAGCTAATGGTGAAATTCCCAAAAGTCCCATTTTCAAATTTTAACCCCCCCAAAAATCCAAAATGGCGGACCTCTGAAAACGAAAAAACACGTTTTTTTTCAACAGGATGTAGCTCGAAAACTGTAAGAGCTAGAAAAGGTTGGAAAGAATTTTAGCGAAAGGAAATTAAATTTTCTACAAAACCCTAATAAGCGTTTTCCAAAAATCGCACTGCTTCAGCTTCAAAAAACGCCATACTTTTAAAATTTGATAAATATCTTTCAAATTTTTACTGGTTTTCGCTATTTTTTCATACTTAAATAATTACTTTTTGCAGATATTATTAGTGCTCTGTGTTCTTCTTGATTTACTTTAAATTCTACTCATTTAACGTTTTTTTGTATCTTTACTCCTTAACCCCCAAAACTTAGGTTTAATGTCAAAATTTAAAGTTTTTTTACCACTTTTACAAGCCCCGTGTTATTCTTATGGAGAATAACATTGAAAGTGGTCGACTTTCGTATGCTCATCTGAACTGTTTAGAAACATGCTAGAGACTTGAAACTTGGTATTATTGTAGTAGGGGATCTTATATTAACGGTATCGCACTCCTTCAGCTTCAAAAAACGCCCTACTTTCAAAATTTGGTGAATTTTTATTACATTTTTACCGGTTTTCGCCATGTTTTCATACTTAAATATTTTTTTTTTCAAAAATTATTATTGCTTTGTATTCTCCTAACTTTACTTTAAATTTTACTCTTTACATGTTTTTTCGTAACTTTACTCCTTGACCCCCAAAACTTAGTTTTAATCTCAAAATTTGAAGGTTTTTTGCCACTTTTACGAGCCCCGTGTTATTCTTATGGAGAATAAGATTGAAATATAATGACTTTGGTATGGTCATATGAATCGTTTAGAAATGTGCTAGAGACTTGTAATTTGGTAGTATTGTAGTAAGGGATGATAAGCTAATGGTGAAATTTTCAAAAGTCCCATTTTCAAATTTTAACCCCCCCAAAAATCCAAAATGGCGGACCTCTGAAAACGATAAAACACGTTTTTTTCAAACGGATTTAGCTCGAAAACAGTAAGAGCTAGAAAAGATTTGAAAGTATATTCAGGAACAGGAATTGAATTTTCTACAAAACCCTCTTGGGTGTATTCCGAAAATCGCACTCTTTCGGGTTCAAAAAACTCCCTACTTTCAAAATTTGGTAAATTTCTTTCAACTTTTTACCGGTTTTCGCTATTTTTTCATACTTAAATCATTCCTTTTTTGCAAATATTATTATTGCTTTGTATTCTCCTTACTTTAGTTAAAATTTTACACGGTACGTGTTTTTTCGTAACTTTACTCCTTAACCCCCAAAACTTAGGTTTAATGCCAACATTTGAAAGTTTTTACGAGCCCCATGTTATTCTTATGGAGAAAACATTTGTAACCCCATAAAAACCACCATAAGTCCCCGTTCCCATGGTCCGTTCATGCTATAGATTTACTCTGGTTTACTTAAGGTTTCATCCCCCTATCGAATTTACAACCCCCCCCCCCCCCCAATATTAAATGCCCCCAATGTTATTCTTACAGGTGCATAAGTCTAAATCACGTTTACACATTTCTAGATTAACTGGATATCTGAAATTTTGAATGATTGTAGATCTTGCGCCCTTTCCGAAAAGTTACATTTTACAAATATAACACCCACCCCCACGAAATATAGAATCCCCCCCCCCCAATGTTATTCCTACAGGTCCATCGGTCTAAATAAATTTTACCCACTTCTAAAATAGCTAAAGATCTGAAATTTGGCTCAATTGCAGGTCTTGCGCCATGGCCCATTTCTATTTACCCCCTACCAAAAAAGGGGGCCTGGGGGCGGAGCCCCCAGCGAGCCAAAGGCGAGTCTATACCCTCTGTCTAACTAACCACAGCATGTTTGTTCCAGCTTTGTGATACCCGGAGGCAGGTTTAGGGAGTTGTACTACTGGGACACATATTGGATCTTGAATGGAATACTTCTCTGTGATATGGTCCATACTGCTAGAGGTGGGTAATGCTACACGATTGATCATTGCTTCAAAAAGTCCGATAGTATAGAATGCAAATCTACTAAGTTATTGATAGTTATCAACCAGGTACAAATTCAGATTTTTAAGAACAGAGGAACGGAGATTGCCTTCTCTTTTTTCATTTCCTATTTTCCATTTTCGTAGGTACCATATTTTGGTGACTAAGTACAGAGGGCCCTAGATATATGGATTTCACATTTTCTCTCTTGGCTACTTACATCAACCGCAGTTAACTTGTCGCTGTTCTAGATGGACAGAGTAATGCTCATGACTCTTTCAAGGTCAATTGCCAGAACATCTTTCAAAAAGTACTTTTACTCTGAGATTAAATAATCAAAGATTTTTTACCTTTCTTGTTATAATTCCTGGACGAAATAACAAATGCAAAGGTCCATAGAGTATTTCAGTCTTGTGACTCATGGCATTAAGAAATAGCTCAGTGTATAACCTCTTAATGTTTTCAGATTTAATCATTAACTCCCTTAAACACCAATAAAGCATTAACTGATACATCCATTTTTGTATGCAGGTATCATAGAAAATTTAATCTACCTGTTGCGCAACTACAATCTGATACCTAATGGCAGTCGCAAGTATTACCTACAGAGATCACAGCCACCATTGCTCATACCAATGGTCAATCAGTATTACAAGCATACCAAGGATTTAGACTTTGTCCGGCAGAACATTGACGTAAGTTTACCTTATCAACAGTAACTTTTATACATGTTGGTTGTATAAAATAGCATACTGCAAGTACCGTATGTCTCCAGCCTGAGACAATAATGCTTTAGATCGCTCCCCAAATAGACAACCAAATTATATTTTTATATTTTTTTGGTTCTAAATAGACAACCAAATTCTCAAGACAAATAGAATAAATATAGACCGTCAGCTGTGCTGCGGTTAGCATAAGTTCTGGCGTCCACCGCTAGGATTGCCGTGTAGTTTCGGCGCACACTGCTGCAGTGTTTGCTGGTAGCATACAGCGAGGAACCAAAAACGGCAACGAATCGAACACCGAGCGGCACATCACGGAATCATCCTCTGACAGTCTATATTTATTATGTTTGTCTATGTAGTTAGTAATAAACTTATCTCCCAAGGCACAACACACATTTGTAACAATTTTCATAAGTTTTAGTTTGCAGTTATGCGTGAATAGTAGTAAGTAAAATATTTGGTCATAAGTGGTTTTTGTTTTATTTCACTGTAATTACACTACAGTGTATTATCATTTGGCTTCCCTTTCTTGAGACATCAAATAATCGCAAATGCCTTTTGAATAACCAATAGCTGATTGCTTTAACACCTTTAAGGTCCTTGGCCTAGATAAGCCGTTATCAGAGACGTGAATACGCATATATCACAGACCCACAAAATATCAGCTATCGCATACCTATCAGAGGCATACAAAATATAGGCTATTGTTGCATCATTATTGTAATGTATTGCGCTTAAGTAATCTTTTAGTGGAGGTGAATGATTTATTCATGTCTTAGTAGATAAGTGAACAATACCAATACTCTTGTGTTACTAAACTATTAACTGGCCAAGTATGTAAACTCAGTTGTACTGTAACCATTATTTGTTAGAAACCCAAAATCCAATGAATATATTTATTTTGTTTTAGACTATATCTGTTATGACATACGTATTTCAAAAGGATATGTCCATATTTAACCAAAATAAAAGCCAGAAAAAAAAAATGTCCTCCTCCTCTATAGTATATAGGCTACGACTGTTAAGAAAAACAAAGCAGTAGATAACAATTCCCTACTAAACTCACTAATCCATTCAACTTCCACTCAGTCCAAACCGCTTATTCAAGTTGGGGCCTTTCCACCAGCTAGGTCACACATCAGTAACCTTAATATGGAGCACTGCACTTGTTAATGCAATGCCTTAGCCGTTTGAGCTACCATGCCACCATCACAATTGCTACCATACCAATACTGATGATACCTAGGGGAAGATTACACCTGTAAGATCTATTGTGCTCCCCGTCCAAACTAGTCTCCAGTCCAGAGAACGCCCTCCAATCCTAACTCCTTAGTGAAGTTCAGCGTCAGGTGGGGTGGGGTTATAACTGAGGAAAATCTCCAACTGCTACTTGGTGCATTCCCAAGCTCTTGGCTCTCTTTCGTCCAAATGAGTTGCATTCAGCCAATAGATGGCTGGGTGTTTCTTCCCTGATTGGCAGAACCGGCAGTTACTTTCTTGAACGATATTTATTTTTTTCTCAGATTATCTCTGAGCCTACAATGTACAGTTAGAAAACCTGTTAACATTCTCAAACCGTTCTTATTCAGGGGTATGGGCTAATCTCTTGTGTCCCCCTTTTTCTTTTTCTTGGCGCCGGTTTGCCCTGCGCTGCTGATGCCTTCCTTTCATCCACTTTCTTCCTGACTTCATCAGGTTCCATCTAAGAAGCGTAGGTACCAGCAGGTTTCTGTCCCGCTCAGCCCCACTCTTCGAGGATCGCACTTTCCACAAGGTTCTCGTGGTTTTGAGGGATCTGACGTCGACCTGGACAGAGCCCTACATGCCCAGGTAAGGCTGCTTACTGCAGGAGGTCCCCTGGTATCCTGCAAGTACCATTCAGACACCATACAAAAGAGGCCTGGTGCCATCCACCCCTCAGCACGCTCCACTTATAGCACACCTTAGGATGGCCTATAACAGAATAAGGTAAAGGAGGGGAAATTTTATGATGAAATTTTAATGATTTTTATATTTATGTTTCAGTTGTTAGAGAAAGAGTTCAATTTCTGGATGGCAAATAGAATGGTCCGATTAAAGAAGAACAATATTTGCTACAAGCTGGCCAGATACTACAGTCCTTCATCAGGGCCCAGGCCAGAGTCTTACAGGTAAGTTTGAGGGCTAGGAGGTTTTAGACTAGACTAATGGAAATTATTATAAATTACTACTACTAAACTCTAATGAGACGTTCCCTTTAGAGATAAGCGAGTTAACAGACCGACAAACACCATACCTGACAAACCAAGATGTGATTCAATACTTTGATCCACAATCTATTGGTTGGGAAAAAATTCCTTAGACAATGTGGCTCTCAAACACAAAGCCAAAAAAACCAAACACTCTAATCTATGGATTCATAGCTTGTCTGTGTTCTTTGCTACTGGATAAGTGACAGAGTGTTACTCATGATGACCAGTACCCCATATCGGATGTTGTAGCAGTAAACCAGAACACAAATGCAATATTGGTATTTTGTTCTACTCTGCAATAAGCTGTTTTATGCATTTTATAGATCAAGGAATTAAGAATAAAACATTTGTGGTAAATAACTTATATTTGCACTGATAAATTTCCACAGCTACACGGTGGGATAGCTGCTAACTATATTAAAAATTTAGAATTAATAGTAATAGTAAAATTATGTTTATGTAAATGTAATAGTATGTTTAACAACCAGTAAATTCATTCTTCACACATTTTTAGGGAGGACTTCTTAACAGCAGACCGGCTACCAACCCAAGAAGAAAAGAATGAGATTTACATCAGTCTTAAGTCTGCCGCCGAGTCTGGTCACGACTTCTCTACCAGGTGGTTCATAAAGAACGGAACCAATGGAGGTTAGTTTCCTGAAATATTATTAGAGGTAATTCAGCTTAAAATGTATCTATTATTCACCCTTTATTAAGTTTAAACTTGCCTTTTTCTGATTAGAAAATTGTGAATTCATAACCTAAGTGAGGTAAGTGTTAAGGAAAACAGTGGGAAGATTGAAATAATATTTTAGTCTACTCTAGTCAGTTAGCAAAGTTGATATTTCTCTAATCTACATTATTTGTACTATCTAAATTACAAACTATGTTCCTCACAGGTAACCTCTCCAACATTGATGCTCCTCACATCATTCCTGTTGATCTCAACGCCTTCCTTGAACAGAACGCCAGACTTCTCTCAAACTTCTACAAGCTTCTCGGTGATCCCAAGAAAGCATCACATTACCAATACAGAGCTGACAAACTACTTCAAGCTATTGAAGCTGTAAGTAAATAGCCAATTTAATATATTTTATTTGATGTGAATATGTTTGCAATATGCATTTTTAAAAGATGTAGGTATAGTTTGGCTTAAAACCTGGAATACACCCGTTCACATGGACCTTAAGACCTGTGTATGGCGTTTATCAAGAACAAACTGTATAGATAATGTTTAAGTGATGGCACTAGGAAGCGAACCGACGACACTGCTGTCATGGTTTTAACAGACTTTTGCTCAAAGCTTGTGCTTTCATCTATACATTAGGATGCAACTCGGTACAGTGCCTCGGAGAACTACAACTATGTACTCTCACTCTGATGGGATCTAATTTTAGTAAAACAATTATGCCTGAATTTGCAATTCGTCTAGATCCTACAAAACTATAACAATTTAAATTTGTGGATTGTTTGGGCAAACCAATTTTTCTCACTTAACAGCTAATTGGAGCCTGTCATATCTGATAACTTATGTGTTGTTTCAGATTCTGTGGCAAGGAGACAAGGGCATCTGGATGGACTATGACCTTGTCAATTTGAAGCCTCGAGACTACTTTTACATGAGCAACTTTGCCCCGTTGTGGACTAGGAGCTACTCATTTCCTCGTGAAGTTGTGTCAAGGCTTGCCCTCAATTATCTGGAAGAGAGTAAAGTGGACGAATATATCGGTTAGTGTCTTTTTATCTGTCGATATGCATACGAGGCTTCTATAGAAAGTACAAAGTGTTGCTATAGAGAAGGAAGGTATTTTAGTTTATGTGCAAAATTTCACAAAAAATTACCTTTACCAGTTAGTGATTTTATAGAACAGTATTTGATCATCCACAGGTAGAGTCGTATTAACACAAAAAGACAAATAAACAAAGATCGGAGGTTTGAAATTCTTTTGTAAAAGATTTATGTGCTAGCTCATCTAATCTAGATTGATCTAGATTGTTGGTTAGTGCTAGCTATTTTTTCCTAATATTCTCTCTTAGTACAGATGACACTAATTTGTTTTAAGGTGTCAATCTCAAGCCACCTTAAATTCTAATTGGTTATAGTTCGGCCGCTTAGAAAGCGACCTGCGCGCTAATGCTAAACCAATGCTAGAGGAGGACGCTTTCTAAGCGGCCGAACTATAGTACAGTAGTTTTTATCCCTTTAAATTTACGCCATCTGTTGTTCTTACAATATTAGTCATCTGATTTAATTCCAAAATAATTGAGTATGTTTTACACCAACTTAGGTTGGGATTTGCCAAAAAAAAACAAAAAAAAAAACACTAGAAACTAAATTTAAATTTTACATTACCAAGCAAGTCACTATGTCAAGACCACTTTTTCAACTTTCATTGTTTCAATGTTCTTTGAAAATACATTTTGAACTTGTCATGTCCAGGTGGTGTTCCAACTTCACTGAACGCTTCAGGTGAACAGTGGGACTTCCCCAACGCTTGGCCCCCGCTGCAGGCAATACTCATACAGGGGCTGGACAGGCTAGAAACCCCGGCGGGGAAACAAGCTGCGCAACACTACGCGACCAAGTGGCTACGCAGCAATTACAAGGGTTACGCGATCTTCCGCAAAATGTTTGAAAAAGTAGGTACCACATGTTTTGAGGTTGTACAAATTTGTGTTCATAGATAAAACATACTCCCTAAGTAGATATCTCATCCTTATGGAACAGCTGAAGCCAATTTTATTGTTTGTTCTGTCCGGTGCACTGTAAAGGTTGTGTTTTGCTTACAATTTTTGTTAATTCAGTCAAAAACCTCGTTTAACCAAATAAAACTATATAATTATAAACAATAACACGTCCCCTAGTTATATAACCAGTTAAGCACAAATCATGAAATTAACCTTAGAATAATAGGAACAAAATTTCATTGTCACCGGACATGAATTAAACACGAAAAACGGGCTTCAAAATTGACAATCAGATGAGAAGTCTACTTGTGTTGGTTAGTATATGGTTGTACTAATCAGTAGTAAAAATAGCTTGAATATCCAAACTTAATGATTTTAAGTTGGAATATCACTAGTGTTATTGTTATTAGACATAGCTAATATTATTGTATTACAGTTTTTAGAAATGTCTGACATTAATACTTATTGCACTGGTGTTGGTACTTTTACTGTTAATCAGGCTAATTCAAACTGATGAGTGACATTGTTTCTCTCCATGAATGTGACAAAATATTGTATTTAGCTGAGTTCTAGTCAAATCTGGTTGGTAATAGAAGGGTGTTCTGTTTGTCGTTCTGAATAAAGTTAACAAAGCGATTTGATTTTTAAAAGTAGGGACTAATTTTAGTTTGAAGAATCATAGTAACGCTGCACAACTCCATAGTTTTGAACATTTAAGTAAAGCATGTGGTTTATTCTAATACTGTCAGCAAGAATCATAAGCTTGTGTAATGTTTTTTGTAACAAACTTTTAGTATATTTTGTATAAATATTTAATTCCACTCTCTTCAGCTTATTAAGTACAAAAACCTGATACACACCAACATGCCTTGAAAAGATCTAGATTTCCTAACTCAAAGGAAGTTATTTTCTCGTCTCCTGATGTGACATACTTTAGTACCTCTTTTATATTATTATTATCCTTCTAGGCTATGCAAGTTTGAGTCACTCATGTACATTTAATTTGTTATCAGTACGACGTGACATTACTTGGCCAGACGGGAACTGGGGGAGAATACGAGTTCCAAACTGGATTCGGATGGACGAACGGGGTCATATTGGAACTACTAAATACTTATGGAAGAAAAATATCAGCAAATGGCACAGACAGTAAGTGTGATTTATTACACATAAGTACAAATCAACCAAAACACACAAAAAAAATCCATAAACTAACCCAGCTAAAAGAAAACGCACTCACTTTTTGAAGGATGAAGACGGAGAAACATTATCCTGGATCGGTCTATTATTCCTCCCCTACATGTTGTGACATGTCTCTTGGATTTGTGTAGATAGAAATTTTAAACTATTAAGGGTTTATTTTTTACAGTTATTTTTCTTTTTAATACTTTCAACATTGGTATTGGTAACCCAAGATATTCATCCATTAAGATGTAGTTATTCGCATTTACATTGTGTAATCAGTGAAATGCCTTTCAACCAAAGATAAAATACTGCTAAACCTGCACAGTATTGTTTTGTAAATAACACCAAGCAAATGTTGCAGCAATCCATTTTGCTAAGTATTTAACCACAGCACACTCAAATCTCAGTTAATTCTTATCAAACAGAAAAAATGTAAATATTCTAAGAGATGCTATGTAAATACAGTCCTGGTGGAGGTTCCCTTGCATGAGTAGGGTGGTAGATTCAATGCATGATATCAATAACAGTTTAACATTATGTTTACTTAACAGTAACACCACTAACCCATTTGTGTTGTAGATGTTATCATCCCATGACGTATGTCTGTGTGTGTGTGTCAGTAACAAGTGTAAGTATATTTTCATTCATCTTCATCTTTAACAGGTTCATATTTTGCTCAAAATAACTTAAAGACTAGAATATTTTTGAAACTCATGTGAAATGTAAAGTATAAATATAACCAATATGACCTGTTAATGTCAAAAATGTGGTAAAATATTAGGATAGTAATTTAATGACAGTAGCTGTTAATCTAGCAGCTAACCCAAGTATCACATTTACATTATTCCTGTGTTTGCACAATTTAATTTAGTGAATATTATCAGTCACAAAGTCTAATTTATTTTCATATTCTTGAACTAATCCATTTTTTCTGACTTTAAAATAATCTTTAAATGGCGAGTTTTCAAACATAGAAACCGCTGTGAATCTTAAATAATGTAAAAAAAATTACAAATGGAAAAAGTGTAATAGAAGTATTTACCTGTATTCTGGACTGAATAGCAGTTAAAGTATAATCATTGAAAGCCTGTAGATTTGTGAACTAAAAACAGTTTTTATTAATTGTTTTTGGCTTTGTATCATGCGTTTTGGTGTTTTGGTGACATTATTTGTTCATGACAAATGTTTGTTTATGGTTTTTCCTTCTCAAACAATTGATTAATTGATTTTAAACTACCCTCACTACAATATATATGAACAGCAGTATGGAAGAAACACTATAGTGCCTGTGGCGGCCATAGCGCCCCTACAGGGCCTGTGAGCTGGGGGGCCCGCGAGCCTTGACCGGGATTTTTCGGGAAATTTTATCGGACCCAGACCCGAAGCGGGCCCTGCCATACGGGCCCTCCTATCATAAGAATATTGATATGAGTATATTACTATACCTTTTTTATTACAACATTTTGTTAAAACCTTGAGAAATCTAGTACAAAGTCAAAAAATTGAGCTTGAGCCGAGCTGTTACGACCTCGACAACATTGCGACTGCAGAACACGTCTGTGAGGATCAATCAAGCTTTTGCCGATTGCGGATGTCTAGGATAACATTACCCCGCGGTTGGCGATGACGATATTGTCTCCGCGGTTGCGGGAGATGTTTAACACAGAGCGCGGCAAAAAAACTGATCTATTTTATGTAGCGCACTGTTCAGCAACAGGTTATCTGAGAGTGATAGGGTTTTGCTCGTTGGGAAGCCTACACGATGCCATTATCTGTGGTCATAGATCATTGGTCTCCTGAGCATCATGCGTTTGTTATCAAGTCGAATTTTAAAAAAATGATTCAGTCATTGTAACTTAGTGGCAGTTCCGTGCATTTTTTTTATTAGGGCGAGGTTGATACCGTCAAGTGGCACAATCATGTGGTGTGTTACCAACTTTAGAACAATGAATTCTGAGTTCAAAAAGAAGCTGACAAGCTGTGCAAAGTCAGATAGGACGTCAGACAACAAAAATTCTATAGAGTCCGTGCTGCTGTGGAAAACGGTCCTCGTAGGCACGCCTAAAAACAAACATCTGCTTGGAACATATCTGACCGCTCGGTTAAACTAGTTATGAGGTTCGATCTTAATTCTTAACCCTACAGATTAATGTGTATTAATCTGTTTAATTCTGTTGACTATCTATACAGATAATCGCACCGGAACCTCTCCATGTTGACCTAATTTATAGAATGCATGGAAATGCCGGTGAGTTGCAATGACTGAATCATTACTTTTTAAAACAACTATAATATACATAACAAACGCGTGTTGCTCAGGTTGACCACTGCTCTATGACTATGACTCTATAATGGCATCGAATAGGCTTTCCAACAAGCCTACCCCCACCACCCTCAGATGTCCTGTCGCTGAACAGTACACTGCAAAAAAATAGATAAGTTTTTATGCCGCACCCTGTATTTTGCCTCTTTTGTGGTAGGCCATAATAATGTCCACACGAACGCGGGAGACGTTCAGGATTTTGCTGCGATAGTGGAAGACGATATCGTGACTGTGCGAGACATTCAAGATTTTGACGCTATCTCAGAAGACGATGATGACGTTTATTTTTCAGCGGGAGATATTTAGGATTTTGCCGCGATTCTGAAAAAAGATGTTGTTTCCGTCCCCGAAGGAGATGTTAGGGATTTGGCCGTAATCGCCGGAGAAGATGATGAGACGCTGGAGATGTCCTGGGTTTGGTTTCAATCACGTAGACGATGATAATGTTTCATTGACCCTATGAAGATATTCAGAATTTTTCCAAGATCATGGAAGAACGATGATGATGCGAGGTGTCTAGGGAGATGCCACGGCAAGCCCAAGTTCAAGCTCATTTGGAAATACCTGTGATAATGTTTTTAAAGATTATGGGAGAAGTGCCCGGTAAATAAACTAGCGGGGGGCCGTGGGTTCTTATCGCCACCACTGTATGGTCCAAAGAGTCATTAAACTGAACTCACTATTAGTGTGTTCAACTAATTATAGCAATCACTGCTACGACACCTTAGAACTTGATTTAGTTTAGAAGTAGATGTTATTATAGTAGTTGGTATTTAGTCAATGTCAATTTATTCAATATTTAATCCTGAGTCCATGGAATCCTGAATCAGGGTAAAACCAGCACAGTAAGTATTTCAGATATAACAATATATACACACTGTATACACACTGTTATAGGATATGCCTTACTCTATGTACTTCTCAAATCTCTTGTCTTGACAAGATCTTTTGTCTGTTTCAGGCACCAAAGACACATAATGATGGCGAGAGCATCACATTCCGTCCATTAGGGCCACTACAGCCCTGTCATCCTTCACTTCAGTGCCTCATCCTCCCTAACTTATAAATTATTGTTGAATTATTTAACTTGTTATTTTATTTAAGCGATTGTGATATGATGAAATAAAAAGTATTTTTAGGATAATGAATCATGAAATGTGTCTTTGATTCCCTTTGGCAGTGCAAGGTTATTATTACTCCTGAGCAAAAGTTACTAGTAGACCTGTAAGGGGTAAGCCAGTGCAGTAGCAAGTGAGGTATGACACATCTATTTGAAAGTATGATCAATATTTATTCACTATTGCTGGGTATTGGTTATAGTTCTCGCCTGGTAATCAAAACGTCGTGGGTTCAAACTTAGAGACTACAGGAAGCAATGATGATATATTTGCGACCCCACAAAATGTTAAACAATTTGCCGCGATAGCAAGAGATGATCTGTTGACTTTATGATGCAGCAGATAGAACAACACAGTCTCAGAGAGGACACAGGAAGAAAAAAATGTTTCATTTTCTTCAGTCCCGTAACAGCTAACTAACTAGTCTTGTGTTGTGTTGTGTCTGTTTGTGGCTATTTCATCACTTCTGGTTTAAGTGAAGGGACCCTCCCTAATTTTTAATGAGCTTAGCCATTTATTTTCAAAATCATCAAAAATTTGTAACATTTAATCGTGTCCATAATTTAGTATGAATTGGAAAACGATTGTTCCTAATATGTTGAACTATCAGTTAAGTTAGCTGTTTTTTCTGACTTAATAGTAAGTCCTTAATTTTATTTCGGTGTGGAATGGGGACTGTCTGGCTAAGCTATTGGGGGGGGGGGGAGAAAGTCCAGTATATGAATGGGAGGGGGATTTTTGCTCCCGGACTCAAAGGGAATGGGGAAAGACTTTTAGGGATGTCACCACAATAAAACATAACAAAAATTAAATTAAATTGTTAAAATAATTTTAATTTGCTCAAAAAGATATATGTTGTTTATACAGTAACACAAATGAGGATTCATATTTACTCCATCCTTTTGTACATGTAATAAATAATGCCATGGTGCACTATGTATATGGTCTTTGTGAATAACGGTCCACGTTTCATACATCTTTGTTAATGAAAAGTATCAAGGGCAAATTTAATTCTTATCTTTATCACTTGAGAGCTTCCTGTAATAATCTTGGTACTCTTGGATGTAAGAGGTAACATTAACCTCTGGAGAATTACTCCAGAGAAAGTCTATCTTTATTGTGATGGTTCAGGGGGAACTGGATGAACTACGGGGATTGTGGTTAGAAGTGTTAATAGTTTGTGAAAGTCCTCAAATTCCAGGTAGAGCAATAATAGTGTTACAAGTCAGGAGCCCCGCGCAACAATAGCCAGGCGCCGTCTCAAAAGGGTTGTTTGTTTACACGGTTTCTCCGAACGCGCCAGTGATAGACAATAGACCCATGTCAACGGACTACGTCAATAGGGGGTTTGACATCTCCAGAAGCTTCCACGGCGATCTGTAAACACCTTTGTCTAGCCTACGAGTAGTCTCTAGAATGTTCTACGGAAAGCTTATATAAGGGACCGTCTTCCGGCACACGGCAGTTGAGTTGAGTTAAGTCTTCCGAGAATCATCGAAGCGACGGCACACCGGTGTGAGTGACCAGTGCTAGTGGCAGTGACAGTGCTAGTGACAGTGAGAGTAACAGTGTAGTGACACTAGTGACAGTGTAGTGACAGAGTAGTGATAAATCCTGTAAAGGTTAGCTGTAAGTAGAATCTTTGTAAATTAGAATAGGCTTTAGCTAGGTTAGATAGGGTTAGTTAGGCGTTAGGTAACTGTAATATCTGTAAATATAGAATAATTAGTGTAAATAAATAGTTATAATAAAATCGCCAAGTTTTTATTGTAAAGAACCTGTTAAGCCCGTAACAATTGGTGTCAGAAAGCGGCATTATTTTGGCGATTTTTATTGTAAAGTATTGAGTTACAGTTTAGTTGTATTAAATATTAGTAATTTGTGTCGTAATTTTGTTTACAAAGTAAAATTCAATTGATTGTTTTTGTTAAACTTGAGTTGTCAAAAATAGAATCATTTATTGTAAATTTTTTTTTTTTTATTGTTTGGCATAAAAATGGCTTTCAAAGGTGTGAAACTTGATGAGTTAAAAGTAGCTGATCTTAGGAGAGAATTAGAAGAACGAGATCTAGATACTAGTGGAACTAAATCAGCCCTTCAGGCACGACTTAAACAAGCTTTAATTGATGCATGTGAGGACCCAGATAACGTTTTATTTGAAACATCTGATTTCAATAAAATGCTTAAGAACTTGGAGTCAAAAATTTCTGAAAATACTAAAACACTAGAATCAAAAATGTCAGAAACTAGTAAAACGTTAGAAAGCCTAGAAGCTAATATTGAGGCAAAAATGTCAGAAAATAACAAAAACTTAGAAGCTAGCATTGAGACAAAAATGTCAAATGTAGAATCAAAAATGCTGAACAAATTAGGTGAATATTCTAGCAAAGTTGATGGTTTAGAAAGTAGGATAAATGAAATTGAAGAGAAAGTTAACTGTATAGAAAAGAATCTAGAAGATAGGTTAGTTGATAAGCTTAGGCAGGAGATGGCTGCATCGGGGAGCTTCACACCTTCGTCCTCAGCTAGCACTGACGAACTTCGGCAGGATAACGCCCCAGAAACGATCTCCAAGCCAGCGCCCACCATTGCTGCCGCTGTCCCTCAGAACATCGTTCCTCATTTCGATGGCAAAACCCCCTGGGAGGACTACATGCTTCTCTTCGAGACAGCGGCTATGGTCCATGGGTGGACAGAGGAGACAAAGGCTTCAGCACTGTGCCTTGCACTACGGGGCGATGCGTTAGCAGTTCTGCATGCTATGCCAATGGCGGAGCGGAAGAATTTCCCAGAACTAGTGAGGAGATTGGACATGCGCTTTGGGCATCGACACATGGACCAGCTTTACCGATCTCAACTGCGGAACCGGATCCAGAAACCCAGCGAGTCACTTCAGGAGTTTGAAGCCGACATTGCTCGCCTGGTGAGAAACGCCTATCCATCGGTCACGGATGATGTCTACGAGAGTTTGGCGGTGGATAAATTCCTCGACGGTCTACGTGAACCTGAGACTCAACAGGCAGTGAAGCTCGCCAGACCAAAGACCCTGAGTGACGCACTGACACAGGCACTGGAGTTCGAGGCTGTACGGCAGTCGGTGAGAGGTCAGGCCCGAGTCCGTGTGGCAGACGCAGAAACTACATCTCCACTTGACATCGAGGAGCTGGTGAAAAGAGTTCTGGAGGCGCTAAAAACACGTCGCCGGCAGATACGCTGTTGGAGCTGTGGACAGACGGGACATCCCAGGAGTAAATGTCCTTCAACCACATCAGAACCGGAACAGGAAAACTAAGGAGGGTTGATGGAAAGGGGCAACCGTCAGCCCGCGATTTGAAAGCCCCGAGGAAAAGTGTTAAAGTTGCTTCACTTGGAAGTCAGTCAAGCAGTTTCTACATAGATGGAAAGGTGAACGGGCGTCTCCAAAGCTGTCTTCTGGACACCGGGGCGACTATGACCATCCTGAATCCCAACACTGTGTCGACTGAAGATATTTCACCAACATCATGGTCTCTACGTACAGCTACAGGTCAGCTGGCTCAGGTCTATGGGCAGACGGTTGCTACCTTCCACATCGGCGGCTGCGTATTTAAACATTGCGCACTAGTTGCCGACATAGACGAGGACGTGATTTTAGGAACCGACATAATGGTGAAGTACGGACTGAAGTTGGACATGTCAAGAGGACTAGTGACTCTCGGAGATGAAGATGTCATACTTCGGCGTGGGAAGGATATCGCTGCACGCGTACTTCTACTGGAAGACACAACGCTACCAGCACGCAGCCAAGTCATCGTCCGAACTACTGTCGAAGGAGATTGGACTAGTGGGCAAAGTGTTCTACTGGAGCCAGGAAGTGACAGTGAAACCCAGCTTGGACGTGGTGTCTTTGTCGCCAGATCCTTATTTAACTTAGGACACGAAAATCCGGTGCGACTGATGAACTTGAATGGTTTCCCTGTGGCGATAAAAAGAGGAGTGAAGATCGGAACGTGCGTGGCTGTTAACTCAGTGGTACGTCAACTAAAATCATGTCCACCATCCCCAAATGGATTGCCGAAGGAGCTGGAAAATTTCGTGGAGAGCACCTGTCAGGATCTGACGCGTCAACAAAGTGCGAAAATAAGGGGCTTCATTACCAGATGGCAAGATGTCTTCGAATACGGAAGCGGACCTAGAGGAAGAACAAACATAGTACAGCACAAGATAGACACCGGAGATGCAAAACCCATACGTCAGGCTCCTAGACGACTCCCGCTAGCAAAACGTGACGAAGCTGAGAAAATTATAAAAGAGATGGAAGCGGATGGTGTCATCGAGCCTTCTAGCAGCCCTTGGGTGTCACCTGTGGTACTAGTGAAGAAGAAGGACGGCTCAACCAGATTTTGCGTAGACTATCGCCTTCTCAACAATGTCACCAAGAAAGACAGTTACCCTCTCCCCAGGATTGATGACACACTCGACACTCTGGGAGGATGTCAAATATTCTCTACTTTAGATCTCAGAAGTGGCTACTGGCAGGTCGGGCTCGCTCCTGAGGACAAGGAGAAGACAGCGTTCTCTATTGGGACAGGACTTTGGCAATTCACTGTGCTGCCTTTCGGACTTTGTAACGCCCCTGCTACTTTTGAAAGGCTTATGGAGAACGTCCTCAGGGGATTGTCATGGGAGACATGCTTGGTTTACTTGGATGATATTATCGTCCTAGGCAAATCCTTCGAAGACCACCTGAAGAACCTGGAGAATGTCTTCATGCGACTGCGGATGGCTAATCTGAAGTTGAACCCAAAGAAGTGCAACTTATTCCGCAAACAGGTCAATTACCTCGGCCATGTCGTATCAGACAAGGGAGTGTCTGTGGATCCGGAGAAGATCAGAGCTATCACCGATTGGCCAATACCACAGGATAAACACCAAGTTAGAAGCTTCCTTGGGCTGTGCGCTTACTACAGGAAATTTGTTAAGGGATTCGCTAATATTGCCAAACCGCTAACCAAGTTGACCGAAGACAAGAGGACCTTTGTTTGGGATAA